AAAACCCAATTTACTGTAGAATGCATTCCATTCAGATTGTTATAATTAAAAGCCCAGTATCTATAGAATACGTTTTATATAGAACGTAACAGTTGAAGGCCCAGTATACTCTTAAATGCATTCCATTCAGAATGTTTTAATTAAAAGCCTCTTAAACTCTAGAATATGTTTTATATAGAATGTAACAGTTGAAAGCCCAGTTTACTCCTGAATGTGTTCCATTCAGAATGTTACAGTTGAAGGCCCAGTATACTCTAGAATGCATTCAATTCAGAATGTTACAGTTGAAGGCCCAGTATACACCAGAATGTGTTCAATTCAGAATATTACAGTTGAAGGCCCAATATACACAATGTATATAACACATATCTTCAACATCCAGACTGAATTTAATATGGAATGAACATACAATCAAATAAGTATGCATACACTCACCAGAAAACAAACACTCACAGTTTACAGATTGTTCCTATAGTAGTTCACACACTTTGGATGATTTCTATAGTACAAGTGATGACACACAACCCATCTCTCTCTCTCACTCTCTCACTCACACACATATATTGAACTCACACATCAGACTTCAGGGTTCCCCTCAAGTGCCAAAAGACAGAAAGCCCATAAGAGTCAATCAGGCAGAAACAAGCACCCAACGCCTCCCATTGATGTGTGGTCATGAAACATTAAACACATACATACACAGAAACTATTAACTTCCTCTTGGTCACACGCACATTCCCCTACCTGACGCCTCCATAAACATATGGTCATAAAACATTAAGGTTATTGTTTAGAGGCACTGAATCATGTTCTCCTTCATCTTCTATTTATGAGGACTGAGGGAAAAGTACCCCTGTGTGTGTCAGTTTGTTTTCCTTATTACTAAATATCATTTCAAATGCAATGAAATATAGGTGGCAGTGTTAAGATAAAAATGTCATTAATGTGGTCATAAAATACAGCAGTAATATTACGCCACGTCTCATCGATGTTAATAGAAGTGTCATAGATGGAGCGGCGTATAGTGCAGTGAAAGCCATGTGCAGAGTCCAGTAAGCCATTTAAAGAAGGTTTATTTATATGATCAAACACAAAACAAACCGAGTACGGCGAAAAGGAACTAAACTGTGAAATAGAAATAATAGTGCGCATATATAGCGACTTACACAACATCTACAAAATCTACAGTTAGTCTTTCCGACCCAATAACACTCACCCTCATATAACTGTGACGTGAAACAAACAATGACCAGCAACCAGGTGACTTCCTAACAATCCCTTTATAGCCCGACTTAATGAACCAATACAACACAGCTGTGACTAATCAACGTGAACCAAAAGTGGTGCACCCGAAACCAGACAGTGCAGTACCCTAACTCACCACTCGTAACAAGAAGGCAAATTCGTCCTCCTCAATAAGTAATAAACCTGGCCAAAACCGGTTGTTATTCTTTGAATATCAATAGGGATAACACATTCCAGCTTTCTTTATCTGTGAGATTATAAGTAGGTCATTTGCACTTAAACCTTTGCTTGCAGAATTGGCTGGATTGATTGAAACGCTTAAGGCTAGTTTCACTTTACATGACACACAGTGCAACAAGTAAGTAAAGTAAACTAGTATGCAATGCAATAAGCCACGCTATTTAGACACAATTTATACTCTCTACTATCACATAGAACATGGTCCAATCATAGTTTTATTAACATGTGGCAAACTCCAGCTGTTAAGAAACATTACTTGTAGAGTAGGAGGCTGTGTTCTGCTGATGTGCCAGTGTGTCTATCATATGTATGTATCTTTGCCTAGTGGAGACTATGGTGTTACCATGGCTGTGGGTGTCTAGTATATGTATGTATCTTTGCCTAGTGGAGACTAGGGTGTTACCATGGCTGTGGGTGTCTATCATATGTATGTATCTTTGCCTAGTGGAGACTAGGGTGTTACCATGTCTGTGGGGTGTCTATCATATGTATGTATATTTGCCTAGTGGAGACTAGGGTGTTACCATGGCTGTGGGTGTCTATCATATGTATGTATCTTTGCCTAGTGGAGACTAGGGTGTTACCATGTCTGTGGGGTGTCTATCATATGTATGTATATTTGCCTAGTGGAGACTAGGGTGTTACCATGGCTGTGGGTGTCTATCATATGTATGTATCTTTGCCTAGTGGAGACTAGGGTGTTACCATGGCTGTGGGTGTCTATCATATGTATGTATCTTTGCCTAGTGGAGACTAGGGTGTTACCATGGCTGTGGGTGTCTATCATATGTATGTATCTTTGCCTAGTGGAGACTAGGGTGTTAACATGGCTGCGGGTGTCTATCATATGTATGTATCTTTGCCTAGTGGAGACTAGGGTGTTACCATGGCTGTGGGAGGTCTATCATATGTATGTATCTTTGCCTAGTGGAGACTAGGGTATTACCATGGCTGTGGGTGTCTATCATATGTATGTATCTTTGCCTAGTGGAGACTAGGGTGTTAACATGGCTGTGGGTGTCTATCATATGTATGTATCTTTGCCTAGTGGAGACTAGGGTGTTACCATGGCTGTGGGAGGTCTATCATATGTATGTATCTTTGCCTAGTGGAGACTAGGGTGTTACCATGGCTGTGGGTGTCTATCATATGTATGTATCTTTGCCTAGTGGAGACTAGGGTGTTAACATGGCTGTGGGTGTCTATCATATGTATGTATATTTGCCTAGTGGTGACTATGGTGTAACCATGGCTGTGGGTGTCTATCATATGTATCTTTTTCTAGTGGCGACTAGGGTGTTACCATGGCTGTGGGTGTCTATCATATGTATGTATATTTGCCTAGTGGAGACTAGTGCTGTGGGTCCTTTGTCCTTTATTTTAGCACTATGAAACGGAATAATCAAGAAAATCACTACATCATTTGTTTACTGTATGCTCTTGAAAAACTCAACCACTAATGCACGAGAAGCACTTTTTGATTATAACCTAAATGAATGAAACAGGTCTGAGCGGTAATATGAGCACAGTAAAGAAAGATTGCAGCGTGTGTCATTTGGTTAACGCACAGAGCGGTTTGAACAGTTTCCCTGTTTTATTGTTCTGCACATGTTCTCAGAAGCATTGGAGCTCAAAAGCAATCGCTAGCCAAAATAATCACAGAAGTATGTATATGTGTTTGAAAAGTTCTGTTTGTTTGTTATGTATGGAGCAAATGGGAGAGAGCATGGAAAGGTGTCTAGCAGATGGGGGACTCGAACATTGCGTACCTGTAGAAGAATGCTCAGTAAGTGGGAAGATAGACATGTTTTGCCCTGCTTACATAGTCCAATCTGGGCAGCAAGGCAACAGTATCCAATCAGATCAGAATAATGTGACAACTGCCAAAACAGTCGTGAACACATATTATCTGACAGCTTGAGTCTCAAAGTGACAATGAATAGTTAATGTAGTCCGAACACATTTATAAAATACCACCAGGCAATTGGTGCACCAGACAATACCTAAAAAACATTCAATTATATTCACTGAATATTATAAACCACACTCATGTGCCCTCAAAAATCATTCTCAACAAGGAATCTGCCTGCTATTTGCATTCCGTATGTTATGTGTGTCAGTGCCTTCTAAAAGGCCTAACACAGGGCTCTTCAAATGGCGGCCCGCGGGCCACATGCGGCCCGAAAGCAACCTCAGAGTGGCCCAGCCCGTAGTTCCGCAATAGACAGTATAAAAGGGAAAATAGGGTCCCACCAGCGATATTTTTCCCCCACTATGGCCACGCCAAGACCCGCCCTTCAATAGCATTCACACACTACTATTGGCCAGGTGTCCATCTACAGGTCCTATCCCCTGACTGCTTCATAGGGCGGGTCTTGGCGTGGCCATAGTGGGATTGGTAATTTTGTGTCCCGCCAAAACTACCAACATGTAAACAATGCAGAGTGTGCTGTGCCGGTAGTAGCCTACATTACTATCAATATGTCTGAAACTTAAAATTCTATGCACCTTTTGCTGTGCAAACTGACCAAAGTTAAAAGAGAAACAATGAATAAACCTTACATGTTTTTCAATAAATTTGTTTGTGTTGGTTTTTAAAATTTGTCATTATGAGCTGCTTCGCCGCTGAAATGACTGGCCCAACTAACCTTTCTCGATTTGAAAATCTGGCCCAACTGAATTTGTAATTGAATAGCCCTGCCCTAACATGTAATTTGCCCCATTCAAGAATGTTCTAACCATTGCAAGTCAGTTGTTAATGGTGGTTCCACAGTCAATCAAAAATGCTGCTCTTCTACAGTAAAATAGCAGGTGTCTTCTGTCCCTGAGAGCCCTGAATGCCTAACCCTGGATGAACTGCCTAAAGAAAGTTTCTGATTGGATAACATTTTCTCTTTGATAATAACACTTCTTATTCCCACCCAAACGGAATAAATTTTATCAGAAATTACATTATTAAAAATTACATTATTAAAAAATGACTAAAGAATACAAAACTATAAAATAATGGAAATAAATATGTATCAAAACGTACACCTGGGTAACCATCCTTAACTCCAGATTTCAAGCATCCCTCCTTGCTGTTCTGATTCCAGTTGTCTAAATTATGCCTAACGACAATGGTCTTGGGTCATAAGAGGTCAAAATACCTATTGAAAAACCAAGGGTCAAATAGTCAGTCACACATTGGGGGGGACAGCTTTGGGACTTTCTGTGTTGGGGCATGCAAACATTGTTTTAATCAAAAGAAAAGTCAGAGTTCGAATGTTTGCGAAATACTGCTAGCCTGTAATATAGGTAGTACCGCAGGGGCGGACTGGCCATCTGTGTGATCTGGAGAATCACAGAACGGCCGGTACTCCAGGATGGTCGCCGGCTCACCACCCGCCACACACGGGCCGGCCCACCACCCGCCACACACGCAGTCATCACCTGTTTTCCCCCCCACACTAATCCGCTCCACTGTAATTAAATCAAATTCTGCAATCTCGACTTATATCAAATCCAATTGATATCCCTGTTTGGAGCAGTGGTTAGTGCGCTTGGCTGCGGAGCTGGAGAGCGCTGGTTTGATTCCCCCCAACAGGTGCCACAATATGTCTTTTGAAATAGTTTTTAAGCTTTTATTTTCTGAATTCTATTTTTGCCCATGTGTATGATGTAGTTAAAACAGCTAAACTTCAACATTTAAGCTGTAAAACGCCACATGCAGTAGCTAATATTAAGAAATATGTTGTGCTTTTACTTTTTAAAAGTTTCTCGTGCCGATTGCTTAAGGGTCGGCCTTGTCAAAGGTATCAGCTGGCTTGTCAAAAGTATCATTCATAACAGCTGTATAGTATTGCAATCAAGTTCGCACTAATTCTACAATTGGAAATTCTAGTGACATGCACCTAGTCGTTATCTAAGGGATTATGTTCGCCAAATACTGAATATTTACCATCCATGTGCCAAATGTCTGTCTCATTCCGCGCTCACAATAGTACCAAGGTATAGGGAAAACATGACATGGATTTCAGAAGAAATAACTTTTGTTAATGTATTGGTTAAGGCAAGTCAAATGGATTTGGGAAATGGAACGACCGGGATTTTATATTGTCGGTGCTGAAAAGAAAGACGCTATGTACTAGCAGTCACATCGATATTGCCCGCATAATCATACCGTATGATCAAATATTTGTGGGGGGGGGACAACTTGTCCTTCTTTGAATATTGTCCCCCTGTCCCCCCATAGGATTACGCCTAAGGCACACACACCTAAAAACAGATTCATTAGAAATCTGTCTGAGAGAAACCCCTCATTTCAAAAACATAAAGACACACACACACACACACACACACACACACACACACACACACACACACACACACACACACACACACACACACACACAAAGACTCTCACAGACACACATGAGCACAAACACAAAAAGACACACATGAGCACAAACACAAAAAGACACACATAAGCACAAACACTCTCACACATACACACAAACAAAAAAACTCACACACCCCCTCACACAAGCACAAAGACAGCCAGTCGGGTGGAAGGGAAATGGGGATTGAACTGCAATGCACCCACATGCACACACTCCTCAACCCCTCACGTACACACACACAGTCAGAGACACACCCACACACCTACAGACACACACACACACACACACACACACACACACACACACAGACACAGACAGAAACACACACACAAACATGCAGGCATGGTCAGGACAAGGCCATCACCCAGCCCCCTAACATTTATTACGCGCTTGGTTTGGATGGCTGGAGTTTCATTCACATGTTAACCATTGTGTGTGTGTGTGTGTATGTGTGTGTGTGCGAGTTGAAGATTCATTTGTGTGTTGTTAACCATTGTGTGTGTGTGAGTTAAAGATTCATTGTGCGTTGTTAACCATTGTGTGTGCTGGGCAACATTTTATGTGTCTGAACTCCACCCCGGCCATATGGCCCCTCTATCTACTCCTCCTTTGCAGGCTGCTCCTCTCCTCCTCTCTTCTCAGATACTCTGGCCTCTTCCAGACTGTCCCCATACGGACGCTAAGGGAAACAAAAGGCTCTACAGAAGTACAGCATAAATCTGCAAGGTGCCTTGGCAAGCTTTTTCTATGTACTACATCCACACCCCTCACAAACACACACACACAGAATTAAACTGTGGAAGTGTGGCAGTGACAGAATATGTCGGGACAGACCAATAGTAGTGTCATCTGGGATCAGGGTTTGGGTGTCTGTCTAGATGCATCAACAGGAAAACATCTGATATGCGCATTAAAAGCCAGCGCCATCCACATCCCTGTATTCTCACTCTCTTTCCATCTATATCTACCCATCTCCCCTCTGTCGCTCTGTCTGTCACACTCACTCTTCACTTAACATCCAGTGTGTGATTTCTGACAGATTGCAGGTCCTCAAGGCCTTATGTACGTGTATGTGTACTCTGTGACAGGAAGTAGCCGGGGGTGTCCTAACTTTAGAGGGCAAGTTGAAATATTAAACTACCCTTCCATCGGTTCAATGTGTATCTCGCATAGATAACACAGTGTTCTGACACAGGACGGCATCACACACACATGCACATTACGTGTGTACAGTGAGAAAGGAAAGTTAGCACCCATTATTCCGGTACAATTTCCCTTGAATCCTCAGTGTCTCAGTCCAGTGTGAAAAGAAACAGCCCCACAACAGTACACTGCCTCCGCCATGCTGTACTGAAGGCATGGTGTTCTTTGGGTGGACAGATATATTGGATTTTCATATTGAATTTTTACATATCGTTTTGCATTCAGGAAATAAATGTTTCTCTCATCTAACCAGAACACCTCTTGATACTTGGTCTCTGAATTTACAATGTGCATTTTGGCAAAGTTCAAATGAGAAATGATGTTGCTTTTCCAAAGGAGTGTTTTTTTCTTGCCTCCCTCCCATATAGGCCACATTCTTGGAGCCCTTATAACATTGTGTACACATGGACACACTGACCAGCCTTTTCCATAAAAGCCAGAAGCTCATACAAATGTTGGATCGAGCCATTTCTTTCTAACTAACTAATCAATTTCAGAGAGACTGCTTGATCTATGTGAGGACAGAGTAGAGCTCTACAGTATTATTCAGAAGTGTAATGTGTATGGCACGACTCTGACCTCACATATATAGACACACAGAACTGGTTTCATATCCATCCCATTACATGTGTCTTTCCATAACTTCATTTTGTTGATCTTTTAAAATGACCTTCCTGCCCTTATTTACCGGGAATTTCACTACTAAGCAGTGGAGTCCACTATGCCCAATAGCTTTTATTTTGAATTAATCAAAGTCACTACAACTGATTACAAATGGAAGCCAATTAGCTCGATTTGGGATCTGGAAAAGTGGCTGGTTAATTCTCAGAATGTTTTCAATTGCAATTCAAGGGGAGGGGGCAACTTATCCAATAAGGTCATATTAATTACTTTCTAATACAAAAACCCCTTGGAAATTGCGGTTACTGTGTCTGAATAAAGTGGGCAAACGTCAGTTTTTATGTGAATTTTTTCATTTCAGGCTGTAAGGCAACAAAGTTTTGAAAGGGATGTGTTGGCTTTCTATATTTGCTGTACATAACATGCAAACACCACCTACAACACAGACATGAAAGTGTTTCTGATATGCTGTCAGCTTTTATCTCACCTGCCCAACAAACAACTCACAAGTAACAATTCTGTTTTGTGCATACGTGTGTGTGTGTAGGCGAGTGTAAGTCAGATAGAAGGGTGAAATTGTACTTGTTTTTTAAGTAGGAGGATTTTGGCAAATGGCCTGTGGCTTCTCCAAAGGCCAAATTAGTGCAGGTGACTGTAGCATAAATAAGGCAACCACAAGGACAGAGAAACATAGTCAGACATACAAACATGCATTGACTCAATGCCAATCGTGTTCATGTAAAAACATACAGACACACTGCAGTACAGTGTGTAAACAGCCTGTGCCCTTATGAGAGCAGAAGGGTGTTGGCCTTAGAGAACTCCTCAGGCTCCCCCGCACTGCTTGTCAGTCACACACACACGCACACACACTCTTGGGCACATGCACTCACACGTGCACTCGTGCACACATGCACACACCCCTCCTGAGGGAAACTGCATAGATTAGCAGCTCATTACCATATCGCAGAGGAGCAAAACACAGGGGGGTATAGTGTGTGTAGGTTGTTGTGTGTGTGTGTGTGTGTCTTCAGCTTACACCCCTCAGAACATTGTCCCCCTCGTCACCACAGCATCTGTTTAATTATTTACCAGGTGTCCCAGAATGGTGCCCACTCTAATCAGGAAGCAGGCAATCATGCCTTGACGGGAGATAACACATTCTGGAATGTCTTTTTTATTGCTACTTAGACTATTATTTGATTAAGGCAGAGGCTGCAGATCCAACAGTTCTCAGTCCTTTTTTTCTGACAGTCTCTCTGGATCCAAAAGCTTCTGCTCATGGGTTAGTTGTCTATTTGCTCTTTACATAGTTAGGTGCTTCCAGCACTAATGCCTTCCACAATTCTTGTGAATCTGCCTTCACACCAGTCCTTTGCCTCCCTTGTGGCTTGCCTTCACTGAACCTCACCAGTCTTCTGCCTTCACAGGACATCAACAGTTCCCTGCCTTCACTGAACCTCCCCAGTCCTCTGCCTTCACAGGACCTTTACAGTTCCCTGCCTTCACTGAACCTCACCAGTCCTCTGCCTTCACAGGACCTCTACAGTTCCCTGCCTTCACAGGACCTCGACTGTTCCCTGCCTTCACAGAGCCTCACCAGGCCCCTGCCTTCACAGGACCTCAACTGTTCCCTGCCTTCACAGGACCTCAACTGTTCCCTGCCTTCACAGGACCTGATCAGTCCCTTGCCTTCACTTATGCACCCCTTTACACCAATTGTAGCAATAGAGGCCTGAAAATCTGTTGATATTACCCAGAGTTATAAGAGAGTTAAGAGAAAAGAGCAGGACCTGAGCAGACTGAGGATGGATGGCCAACATGGGCATTGATCAGGACCTCCAGTGACTGGCAACACAGTTCACTCTGTTAGAACCGCTTCAGCGGCGTCTTGCCATCCCGGCCATCTGACTGTGACTTCTCCCAAGACACGTATAATCACCTGTGTAGCTACATTAGTGAAGTAATTATGATGGTCTTGCCGCCATATCTTGGCGGATCGCCGAAAAACAACACTAACTGCCTACTCCCTAGTTTAAAAAAAAGTGACTGGGAAGTAAACGACAGGCATCAAGATCTGTACATGCACAAAAGCATCTTCTCACCAACGAGTAATGGTCCATGTGAAGCCTGATCCCCAGCCACTCTGTTAGATTAATCAATTTTCCCTCATTAAGGAGCTAATCCATCTATCCAATCAAAACTAAGCTAATCCATCAACCCATCAAACCTAAGATAATCCATCTATCCGATCAAAGCGATAGGGAAACAGGTTTTTCCGGCAGCTCAGAGCAGATTCAACACCTGTCTCTGTACTGTCCATGACCACAGAAAAGGGTAACGAACAGCTGGGGACCGGCCGGATTTATAGATTTTTCTTATG